TCGCAGCCCCCCAGGGATGGCGAGGTCTAATTTGAGTCTAAGGTGGGTACCCACTGTGCTGGGCCCCTCAGCAGCCCTCGAAAGTGGCGACAGTTTCACAGATCGCAGCCCCCCAGGGATGGCGAGGTCTAATTTGAGTCTGCGGTGGGTACCCACTGTGCTGGGCCCCCCAGCAGCCCTCGAAAGTGGCGACAGTTTGACAGATCGCAGCCCCCCAGGGATGGCGAGGTCAAAGGCAGGGGGGAAGAGAGGGACGGGAAGGAAGGAAGGAAGGAAGGAAGGAAGGAAGGAAGGAAGGAAGGAAGGAAGGAAGGAAGGTTCGCGCGAGCAGTGCTCTATTCAAAACGAGAACCCAACGCAGGAGGGTTGGGAAAGAACTGCAACAAAGCCTTCCTGGGGAAGGTTGATGGGAAGTCTTAGGAGGCTGGGAACGGATGCCGTTGAGTACTGGGTTTTGTGTTCTGGACGGAGGCTCGTGAGTACTGGGTTTTGTGTTGGAGACTGACGCTGTGGAGTACTGGGTGCCGCGTTGAACGCGGAAGCGCGGCGAACGGGCGGCGCGGGGCGGGCGGCGGGCGGGCGGGCGGGCGGGCGGGCGGCGGACGGCGGGCGGGCAGATCTGGATTTTAATAAAACTCCTAAGGATTCTCTCTTGCAGCTGGATGCTGTTGCATACTGGGTGTTGTGCTGGAGGCGGAAGCCGCTGAGTGCTGGCTTGTGTTGGAGACGGAGGCCGTTGAGTGTTGGGTGTTGCGTTGGAAACGGATGCCGTTGGGTACTGGGTGTTGTGCTGAACGCGCGAGCGCGGCGGGCGGGCGGCGGGGGGCGGGCGGCGGGAAGGCGGCGGGCGAGCGAGCGGTGGGCGGGCGGATCGGGATTTGAATCGGCCTCATAAGGATTGTCTCTTGCAGCGGGATGCTGTTTAGTACTGGGCTCTGCGTTGGAGGCGGAGGGCGTTTAAGTGCCAGGCGCTGTGTTGGAGACGGATGCTGTCCGAGTACCGGGCGTTGTGCTGAACGCGGGGGCACGGCGGGCAGGCGGCGGGTGGCGGACGGCGGGCCAGCGGCGAGCGGGCGGAGCGGCATTTCAGGAGGCTTCAAAAAGAACCCTCCCAAAACATTCCCCAAATCTTCCCCTGGACGGTTTCAAAAATCCTGTGGAATACTGGGTGTGATGCTGGAGACGGAGGCTGTTGAGTACTGGGCTTCGCGTTGGGGACGGACGCTGTTGAGTACTGGGCATCGTGTTGAACGGGGAAGCACGGCGAACGGGCGGCTCGGGGCGGGCGAAGGCGCTAAGACCTTCCAAAAACCTCCCTCTAGAAGGTGTCAGGCAGGTGTTCTCGCAGAAACCTTCAACAACCTTCCTGAGGAAGGGGGTTTGAAGGTTGTTGGAAGGTTTTCGGAAGGTTTTGTTTGGAAGGTTGTTGGAAGGTTTTTCGAAGGTTTGTTCGGAAGATTTGTTCGGAAGGTTGGAAGGTTCTGGAATGGATGTTTGGAGGTTTTTGGGAGACTGTTGAAGGATGTTTGAACTGCTTGTTTGGAAGGCTTTGTGGGAGGGTTCTTGGAAGGTGTTTGGAATGTGTTGGGTGATCTCGCTAAATGTTGGAAGGTTGTTGGAAGTTGTGCGGAAGGTTGTTGGAAGGTTGTTGGAAGGATGTTAGAAAGTTGTTGGAAGGTTGCTGATTGTTGGAAGGATTTGGAAGGATTCTGGAAGGTGTTTCAAAGGTTGTGGCAGATTTGTTGACAAACCTTCCAAAACTGTCCTCGCCCCCCCGATTCGTCGGAGCCTGGGGACAACCTTCAAAAACCTGTTTCAGGAAGATGTTTGGAAGGTTAGTTGAGGATTACTTGTGAAACATTCCTAAAACCTTCTTCCGGAAGGCTCCCGGAGGAATTCCTCTCAAAAACCGTCCTACAACCTTCCTGAGGAAGCTTTTTGGAATATTTTCAGGAGGAAGCCATCCTGAAACCTTCCTCAGGAAGGCTTTGGAAGGGTTTTTGAAAGGAAGCCCTCCTGAAACCTTCCTCAGGAAGGTTATCGGAAGAGGTTCTAAATAGAATCCTTCAGAAACCTTACAAACAAAAACCTTGCTGAGGAAGGTTTTAGGAAAGCTTCCTTTCAAAAACCCTTCCAAAAACCTTCCTCGGGAAGGCTTCATGACGGCTTCCCTTCCTGAGGTTGTAGGAAGGTTTTTAAAAAGGAATCCCTCCGGGATCCTTCCGGAAGAACTTTTTTGGAAGGTTTCACAGATAATCCTCAACTAACCTTCGAAAAATCTTCCTGAAGCAGTGTTTTTGAAGGTTGTCCCCGGTTTCCGACGAAGGCGGGGGGAGGGCGAGGAAGGTCTTTGAAACTTTTTAAGCCCTGCCAAGAACCTTCCAAAAACCTCCCAACATCAGTTCAAAAACCTTCCAACAAACTTCCCAAAACCTTCCAAAGTCCTTCCCAAACCTTCCAAAAACCGTCCAGCAGCTCCCAAAGCCTTCCAATGTTTTACGAGATCTCCCAATATATGTCAAAAACCTTCCGACAAAAAACCTTCCAACAACCCGTTCGAGCATCCATCAACAATCTCCCAAAAACCTTCAAAAATCCGCCCCGAAACCTTCCAAAAACCTTCCAAAACAACCTTCCGAAAACCTTCCAACAAAAAACCTGCCACAAAAACTTCCCAGAACTCTCCAAAAACCTGTTCAAGAACTGACACCGCAAGGTTGTTGGAAGGCTTTTGGGAAGAATCAGTTTTAAAAACCTTTCTAATTTCTTCCTCAGGAAGGTGTTTGGAAGGTTGTTGGAGGTATCCTCCTACAAACCTTCCCGAAGTCTTCCTCGGGAAGGTGTTTGAAAGGTTGTTGGAGGAATCCTCCTAAAAGCCTTCCTAAAACCTTCCGCAGGAAGGTTTTTGGAGGGTTGTTGGAGGAATCCTCCTCAAAATTTACCTAAAACCGTCCTCAGGAAGTTTGTCGGAAGGTTTTTAAGGGCATCCTCCTGAAAACATTCTTAAAACTTTCCGCAGGAAGGTGCTTGAAGGTGTTTTGAGGAATCCTCCTAAAAACCCTCCTGAAACCTTCCTCAAGAAAGTGTTGGGAGGTTTTGGGGGGGGAATCTTCCAAAAAACCGTTTTGAAACCTTCCTCCAGGAGGTTTGTGTTGGCAGGCTTGTTAGAGGAGTCCTCTTGAAAACCTTCCTCTAAATTTTCCTCCGGAAGGTCGTTGGAAGGTTCTGGAGGAATCCTCCTAGAAACCTTCCTAAATACCTCGGGAAGGTGTTTGGAAGGTTTTTGGAAGAATCCTCGTTTAAAAAACAAGTGTAAAACCTTCCTCGGAAGGTTGTTGGAGAAATCCTCCTAAAACCTTGCTAAAAACTTGATCAGGAAGGTGTTCAGGAAGGTTGTTTGGAAGGTGCCCCGAGGAATCCTCCGAAAAAAAACCTCCCAAAAACCTTCCTCAGGAAGGTTGTTGGAATGTGTTTGAGGAATCTTCCTAAAAACCGTACCAACCCCATCCTCACGCAGATGTTTCAAATGTTTTCGAGGGAATCCTCCGAACAAACATGCCTACAATCTTCCCCGAGAAGGTCTGTTGTAAGGCTTTGGGAGGAATCCTTGTTAGAAAAATACTGAAACCTTCCTCAGCATGGTTATTATAAGGTTGTTGGAGGAATCTTCTTTAAAACCTTCCGAAAACCTGCCTCAGAAAGGCTTTTGGAAGGTTGTTGGAGGAATCCTCCTAAAACCCTTCCCAGGAAGGTTTGTTTGAAAGGCTGGTGGGGAAAACTTCAAACAACAAAAAAAACGTCCTAAAACCCTCCTCAGGAAGGTGTTTGGAAGGTTGTTGGAGGAATCCTCCGAAAAGCCTTCCCGAAACCTTCCTCGGGAAGGTTGCTGACAAGGTTCTTGCAGGAATCCTCTTAAAAACCTTCCTGAAACCTTCCTGAGGAAGGTTGTTTCGGAAGGTTTCTGGAGGAATCCGCCTACCGACCTTCCCGAAACCTCCCTCGGGAAGGCTGCAGCAGGGGCTGGCCGAACTGCCGCACCCCACTGGAGGGCGCGGGCGCAGCCCGCCGCCGCGCTCGGCCTGGCCAGCCCGCGTCTCCCGGCTCCCGGCTCCTCCTGCTGCCCGCAGGGGGCGCCCACCCTCGCGCTGCGCGCTGCGCGAAGCGCGAGGCGCGAACAGCTTCGCGCTCTCTCGCGCCGCCCCCAGCGTGCCGGGGGCACGGCGGCAGACTCCGCGCGTCGTAGCCGCTGCCACGGGCCGCCGCCCTTGCTGGCTCTCGCGTTCTTGGCCAGGAGGAGGAGGAGGAGGAGGAGGAGGAGGAGGAGGAGGAGGAGGAGGGGCCCAGCCGCGAGGCGCGAAGCGCGAAGCGCGAGTCGCTTCGCCCCTCGAGGGACGGCTCGACACTCCGCAGGGTCGCACGGAGGACTGCCAAATCTCCCCGCCAGGCCAAACATCGGCGCAGGCCGTCGATACCCAGCTTTACCCGAGGCGAGCGCTCCGAGCTCATCTGCACGGTCCCGAGCTGCACCCAAGGGAGGTGATGGTTTGCCACGTCGTTGTTTCCGTGTGCAGTCCGCCGACGCTCCTGTGCGAGCACTCGTCCACCGCACGCCTGCGCAAGCACAGACTGCGGGCGAACTGAGCCCGCGCACGAGCGAGAAGGCCCTCGGTCATCCAACGAGCGTGACCCGCGTCTCAGATGATTACTCGGATGCCGCGCGAACAGGAGAGCGCCAGCGGGAGGGAAGAAGAGGAGGCAAAGAGTCGCCCCTGGACGCTGCAGCACGCACAGGCAGTGCGTGGTCGAAGGGGTGCGCCCTCGCCCTCGCGGGGAACCCAGCCGCGGCGACGAGGAGCCTCACGGAGGCTCAAACAGGACGCACGGCCTCAGACAGACTCCCTCCTCCTCCTTCTCCTCCTCTATCTCCTCCCTCCTCCTCCTCCTCCTCCTCCTCCTCCTCCTCCTCCTCCTCCTCCTCCTCCTCCTCCTCCTCCTCCTCCTCCTCAGGGTGGGCGAGAAGAGCGCAGGCGCCCCCGAGGCAGCACGCGCGCCCCGCGTCGGTGCGCCACGGCGGCCCGGGCAGGGCCCCCGGTCAGTCCTCGGGCTTGCCCTCGATCACGGACAGGAGCAGCGTGCTGCGGTGCCTGCGCTCGTGGAGCTGCGCCGACTCGACGATGAGCAGCCAGGTGACGGCCGCGGCGAGCACGTTGCCGAGCACCGCGGCGAGCATGCTCGAGTACAGCTTCTCGCGGATCATCTGGCACACCAGGAGCTTCTGATCGCTGCAGCTGCTGGGCAGGTCCAGGCTCGCGTGGTCCCCGAAGGCCCAGCTGTGGTTCTGCAGGAAGGCCCCAACGACGTGGAGACGGTCGCCGCACACGTCCTGGTCGCCGATCAGATAGATCGGCTTGCACCCAGCGCCCACGAAGGCCCTGACGCCGAAGATTACCAGCATCGCAAACGTGGTAAAGAACAGGACCAGCCACAGCACCTCCATGAGCACGATTGCGGACCAGAAGCACCCCTCGTGGTCGTCACAAAAAAAACAACAGGAGATGCAGCAGCGTGACCTCAAGCGATCGGGCAATCCCTCGCCAGCAGCTCGATCGACATCTCCCTCGCAGAGGCGGGACGCCCATAGGGCGTAGGCCAGGTTGACGAGCGTCAGCACCAAGAAGACGACGAAGTACGCGGAGACGGCGAGAACGAAGTACTTCGCCACCAGCTCGAATATGGGCGGGGCCTTCGTCCGCACGACCCCGAACAGCGACTCCATGGTCGCCGACACGGACAACACCTCCACGCGCGCCTCCTTCAGTGCGTCTATCCACGACGGGAGCGCCGAATTCAAGCTGGTGATGAAGTCGGCGAGCGCGGCGTAGTCGAATGACGCGTTGCCCTCCGCGGCAGACTCCTCAAGCAGGACCACGCCGCTGAAGTTCTTGGACCGCAGGTCCTTCACGGTCCGGTTGAGGACGTCCTCTAGCCGACGAACAGCCCTGGGGGAGGCGTACTTTTCCACCATTTTCAGGAAGCTGCTGAACCTCCTCATCATGCCCTCCACGATCTTTGCGGCCGACTCCACCGCCCCGCTGGAGGCCGCGCTGTAGTCGAAGCACAGGCCCTCGTAAACCTTCGCCTGCTCCCCCGCGCGCCTCGCGAGCTCCGCGGCGAACTCCAGCGACTCTGGCCGCGCCTCGCCGCCGCCGCCCGTGGCCCGCGCGGCGTCCGGGTTGGCGACCCCCACGGCGCCCGAAAGGGCGGCGAGCGGGTGCCCGCTCTGCGCGAGCCGCCGCCACCGGCTCGAGCGCCGCGCTCGCTGGAGCGCCACGCTCGCCTCCGCCCCGCGCCGGGTGTCCCGGACGCGGCGCACCGCGGCGGTGCACAGGCGGTCCTGCTGCGACTGCCGCTGGCCAGGCGCGCCAGGCCGCGAGGAGGCCTCCTCCTCGCCGGGCCCGACCGCCTGCCGCGCGGGGGCGGGCCCTCGCTGCGGCTGGGGGCGCCCCGCGGGGCGGTGCAGGTGCGACTGCAGCAGGGCAGCCTCCTCGCCCTCTTCGCGGCAGCCCAGCGCCGCCCGCTCCCCGCCGGCGGCGCCCGGCGCGGCGCAGGCCGCCGGCACGACAACGCCTGGGCACTGCAGGAAGGCCCCCTCGTCGCCGCCGTCGACGTCTAGTTCGCCGGACGCGTCGGCCGGCCCATCCGGCCAGGTGCTGCCAGTGTGGTCCGCTGGCAACTTGCCCCGCGAGCGGTGGCCGCCCACCAACTTCGACAGCCAGAGCTCCGAGGCGGGGCGGCCGCCCTTCGCGCCGGCAATCCACTTGGCCACCTTCTCCACGCAGCTGGGCTGCACGTCCGGATCGAAGCCCTGCGCGGCCCAGTACGAGGCGTTCGAGAGCAGGTCCGCCGCCTCCGCCACGCGCTCGGCCGACTGCGTCGCCATGGCGCCCACAACCACAGCCCCCACGTCCACTGTGGTCAGCTTCTCTGGGCTGTCCGCTTCGATGGCGAGGTGCGCGAGTACGTCAGCAGCCAGCTCGAGGGGTAGGCTGCCCCTCGCGAGAGGGCCCAAGACGCTGCGGATCTTGGTTGCATTATTCTCTACGCTCACCTGAGCCACGTACTGGGCCACAGACTCTGCCACATCGCTGCGCGTGCGGGCCGCCGACATCTGCTTCGAGATCCGCGCGAGTCTTCGGGCGTACGTGCGCATGACGAGCGAGAGGACCCCAGGGACGTCTTCATCGTCGACCAGCAGCCCGAACTCCTCAGGGCTAACGCCTGGCTCGGAGTCGCCTCCGTGCTCATACTTGTCGATCAGAGTGTCGGCTTTGCTGCCACCCAACGCCGAGACCCCGTACATCGAAGAGACATTTTTCAGGTCCTCCCGAGTGATCGTGCCTGTGTTCGAGACATCGAACAGGTTAAACGCGTCCCGCAGCAGCACCTCCTGGGCCTCCGCGCTGCCGTTGCCACCGATGGCGTGCAGGTGGGAGACGGCTGTGTCCAGGATCTTCTGCACGGCGTCCAGCGCGAAGCTGAGGTCGGAGGCGCCCTTGCTCAGCTCCGGCCCGAAGGAGACCAGCCACTCCTTCGGGGAAACCAGAATGTACACATGCCGCTACTCCCGTGACCTCTCCCGCGGTGCGCTCTGACCAGAACTTCGAGGCGAATCCAGCGGTGCCTACCAAAGCCTCCCAAGGAGTCACAAACAGGGGAAAACTAGGCAATAGAAAAAGAAAGCCTGCGTAAGCATACACTTTGAGGTCTGAGCGGATCTCTTTGACCTAAACTCCCCTTCCTGGCGCGCGGAGCGCGCCAGGGGCGGCGCCACAGGAGCCGCCAGGAGGTTCCAGCGCAGATCCAAGGAATCGGCCTGGAGCTCCTAAAGTTTGTACTTACGCCACTTCTCGCTTCTTACTATTCAAGGCAACGGTGGCGGCATCGATACCTTTTCCTCCCCGGAAGCCCATTTCGTATCATTCGTGATAACGCCCGTGACGGGCCAACCGGCCCTCCCCCTCCCCCCTAGTCATGTCACGATTCGCGCCGGCACCATGTGAGAGATGGCCATCCCTAGGCATTCCCAGACGGCGCTGGCGCGAGTCATGACGTGACTGGCCCCCGCCCCCCGCTCATTCCCCCCCGTTACGCCTGTTATCGCCAGTCCAGACCAGAAGCCAGGCGCCGAACGGCGCGTCTGCAAGAGAAAGCGCGAGCACGTTGGCTCACCTTCGCGGGCTCGCAGCTGCCAGGAGTCAGCAGGCTGACTGGGTCTACTGGTCTCTGAGACGTCTCCGATGACCCCCCTGATCGCCTTAGGTGTGCTGGGAAGGCTTGGCAAAACGCCCTGCGAGGCCCGGGGGGCCGCTTCGAGGCCCGTCCGCAGGGTCCCAAAGCCCCAGATCGCGGGAGTCCAGTTTTTTGGGGGGGGGCCGTCCCCCCGCCCGGGCTTATAAAAATATAGGAAGAGGAATATACATACATAGATTCCCGTTTCTATATTTTTACAATCTGGAGGGGTGGGACCCCCCCCTTGGGCCGGACCTTCCGAAATCTCTGGCTTCTGGGGCTCCTGGACGCCCCTGCCGAGGGTCCCATGAGACCTCCAGGCTTCTGGGAGTCCCTGCCAAGTCGTACAAACTAGCCGGCGGTAGCCCCAAGAGGGTCCAACATGGCCTGGCCTCATGATGGCCCAAGAGACCATCCTAACGCTCCAAAGAGCTCCAAGAGGAACCCCCAAGTGGGCCTCCAAATCCAAAACCTGTGCGGTTCCTCAAGGTTTTTGCATTAGTTTGGCATTATCGTTTTTTCGTGCTACCGACGCCCCAGGAAGGCCCAAAGGCCCCCAACATCGGCCCAGGACAACTCATGAGTGCGAAGATGCCCCCACGATCCCCGAAGAAGGCCCCAAAACGGACCTTCAGACCGCCACCATGCGCGAGCCCTCCGGCCCTAAAGGATCCACGAAACTGCCAACAGGCGCCCAAACGCCTCAACCAGGGTTCACGAGGTCCCCAATAAGACCGAAAATAAACCCAAGGGTGGTCCAAATTATCTCCACAACCAGCAATATTGTTTCCGCGACGACCCCGAGACGCTTCCCCACAGACCCAAACACATCGAAGAGGCCTTTGATGTACGACCCCGCATTGGCGCCCTCGTCCAGCATTTCCACCAAATATGTCAGAATCCCAATTTCGCGACGTTCCCTCCAGGCACGTGGGTAGGAGGGGGAAGAGGAGGAGGCGGAGGAGGAGGAGGAGAAGAGGGATGATGGTGATGATGATGATGATGATGATGCCAATGATGATGCCAATGATGATGACGATGATGATGATGATGGTGATGATGGTGATGATGATGATGATGACGACGACGACGATGATGATGATGCGGATGATGACGATGATGATGCTGATGATGATGATGATGGTGGTGATGATGATGATGATGATGATGATGATGATGATGATGATGATGACGATGATCATGCTAATAATGATGATGATTACGATGATCATGATAATAATGATGATGGTGATGATGATGACGAGGAGGAGGTGGTGGGGCTTGCGCCGTGGATAAGGTGAGGCCTCGAGGAAGATGAGGAAGATGAGGAAGATGAGGAGCATGAGGAGCATGAGGAGGAGGAGGAGGAGGAGGAGGAGGAGGAGGGAGGAGGAGAATGTAATAGAATAGATTCACTCTTGGGTGTCTGAAGCTCCTCAGATAAAAAGTTACACACGTGACACATGAGTGGCGGACTGACCGCACCTTTCTTTTCGCCTGACCCTGCAGGCGGGGGACGCTCGGGCCTCATCACGCCCACGTTGGGGGATACCAGCGGAAGGGGAGCTCGGGCACCATTCAAGATATCAAGCAAACCTCCTGGTAACGGCGAAACCGGTCCCGCAACCGTTCGGTTGCAGCAGTGTCTAGGTAACGCTGAAGCCGGTCCCTCAACCGTTTGGCTGCAGCAGTGTTTAAGCAACGGCGACACCGGTCCCGCAACCGTTTGGCTGCAGCTGCGTTTAGGTAACGGCGAAACCGGCTCCACAACTGTAACCTAACACACACGCCGCGAAAACATACGTTCGCTTGGGGGCTCGTTTAGACGCGATTCGACGCGGCACGGGCACAAACTGTTTAGCTTCGTCCCCTGGGACGCCAGTCAAAAAAATGTTTGGGGCGAGGTGGACCTGGGAGGGCTGACCCGAGGAGGAGGAAGAGGAGGAGGAGGAGGAGAGGTTTATACTACTAGCGGCAGCGTCGACGGCCTCACGCAGAGCAGCAGCAACCCTCACTTTTTCCCCGCTCAACTAAGCTCCAAAACTTTTCACTTCCCACAAACGGCGCAAGCTGCCTATCAAGCTCCCGACCAACTGCCTGTCGAACTTTTCGAATAATTCGGCTGCCACCCGCTCCAGCGCGCCCCGCGGGGCCGCCCCGATCTCCCTCTCCTCGCCCATTTGGATAAAGTAAGCCACCATCGCATTCTCGAGCTGAGGGAACTGAGTGTCGACGCGAAACGCGATCCTGAGCTTCTGCCCCTCCCCGTCGATTTCGCGGGCGGACCGAACGCGACAGTGACGAATGAGCTCAGAGAGGGACTGGATCGGCAGCACGAGCACCCTTTCCTGCCACCACTTGACGATCTCGGCCTTCGACGACGCAGGACAATTGGGGCCCGCGCCCATCGCCTTCAGCATGGCCAAAGAGACGTGCAACACACAACGGGCAGAGATCGGCGGCGCCCTCCGACGCCTTCTGTCGCCGCTGCACTTCCTGATGGCATGCGACTCCTGCCTCCTCGGCCGCTTTGCCTGTAACCTGTTCGGCCGGCCGCCACGAGGAAGGCGATGAAGACAGCCCCGCAAAGGTCGCGGATATCCGCGGAGCTCGCCAGCGCGAGCTTCGTCGGCACCTTGACGAGCGCCACCAGAACGCTGCCGCCGTTGACCCAGGCCCGAGCTTGCTGCACCACTTTGTCGTTGTCGTTGCGGTCCTGGCCCCCCCCCCCCCCCAGCCTCGACTTTGCGTTCGCTGGCCCAGGCCAGCTCCGCGTCCATCTAAGGAAAGAGCACGGCGCGCACGAGAGGGCTAAGCAGGCGGTGCAGCAAGCGGAACATTAAGCAAGTGCATCAGCAAGTGTTCCTGGAACACCAAAAACTCGCTAGCTTCACAATCGCACATTGGACAAGATCGGCGGGCATGCGAACAGACGCAGCATTGCGAGACCTTCCAGGAGTGCCCACAACAAAATAAACTGCACCAGATGACGCTGACACGATACGCCCCCAAAAAAACTGCATCACAGGCGGGGCATTGGTTGGTGATAGCCACACTACATGTCCTAACATTCGGAACCCATGATGCGCAACAGTGCGCGCATGAATCCCGCTCTTCGACGACAGGAACGAACGACATGGCACGCCTGCCTCATCAGGTATCATGCATATGCACGTGCCCTCCGCCCCCACCAAAATCTGACTCTGGCTCGCAGTCCACATGTTTGCCCCTCCTCTGGCCCCCACCAAACTCTGATGTTGCGACGCCCCCTCATTGTCAACGCAATAGGCCCCATCCCAAGGCGGAATAGCCACAGACAGCATACGACTACGTAGCTCACCCATGTCAATATTCAGAAACATATCCCGACAGTACTCGTCCGTGAACAAAATCTTGAAACGCTCATTCACCTCCTCCATTAAAATCCCCCCCGCCTCAGCCTTGCTTAACTCCTCCAGATCCCCCCAGAACATCTCGGCCCACGGGCTCGCACTAGGACAGAGCTTTCCACTGGGAACGAAGGTGGGGCGATTCGTGCAATCCCCGAACAACGCGGCCAAGGACTGACGATGCGTGCACTGATACCGCACGAACTCCTGCAACCAACGAAGCCCACGCACGCGAGCCCCCACCTTCCGCGGAGCTAGACGCCACCAACGATAAACATCAGCATGAGACATACTGCGAGGATGGCCGTCGGTTTCCAAGTCGCACGCCTGCCCTCGCATCGCTCGACGCGCATAGGTAGCCACCACAGAGGAAAGCCCACATATCTCTCGACTCGCGGGAACCCAAGCCTCAATCCCAAACAACACCGCGTTGCAAACCGTGAAAATGAACGTTGCCCGACGCAAACGATGCGGAACATCAGACAGCGACCAGGAAGCCCCCCTGTGCTGTACCACCCAGAACGCATAGCCTCCAGCCACGACAACAATTCTGGCCCGCAGCGGGCCGCGGCATTCATCAGAGCGCCCAAACTCCGAACCACAGGGGAGAGAGCCCCAGGAAACGAATAGGCCCCATCTCGTAAGAGTCCATACGCAGCACGAACACCCCTCGCATGAAGCAAAATCATCGTGTCCTGCTTGGTTACGTTCTGCTGATAGCCTCGAGATGCCAGCGCCCTATCTAGATCCCTGTTCGAGTTTTTGCTAAGAGAGACGAGCTCCGCCACCGACGCAGTCCACCCACAACCAGCTTCTTATCCGCGCATGTGATTAGAGAAGGGTCCAATATCCCCCCAGAAAACGGATCTCGCGCCTCAAGTGCCCGACTCTCGGGGCCCCGCTTATGCTGCTCAGCCCGCCACTCATCAAAAGCAGGCGCAATGGCATGCACAAGCGATCGCACTGCAAAGGCGCCACCCATGCACCCGCCACACCCAAGCCGGAGAATATGGTCATCATCGTGCCCAGCAAGAGTGAGAGTCGCCCACTGAATACGCTGGGCCCCAAAATCAGCCAATCCAGCATCGAACCTATCAGGGGACGTCTGCATCATAGCAGACCGCGAGCTCGAAGAAAAGGCATTCGCTCAGACATGTGCGTTTGTGATATGTGACCAGCCAAGCTGATTAAGCTGGTACGATGTGAGATTCTGAATCGCGATCGCGTCTTCGCCTCTATGTCGAGGGGCAGAGCCGTGATCCTGATGCGCATACTGCCTCCGCCCGAGAATTCCCATCAACTGGGAAATCCATTGTTTACCAATCGGATCAAAACAAATGAATACATCTAGTTCGATCATCTTCACGAGGAAGAGGGGCCTCACGACTACGACGCCATCGAACAGGAGCCTGCCCGCACGCACGAATCCTGGAGAAGCCCTCGTGCACCAGATCGAAAAAAACTAGAGCCTGCAGTGCCTCTCGAGACCCTCCGACACCATGCCCTCGAAAAGACACTCCTCGAATGATGCAGAATCCACCATAACTCAAGAGGCGGGGCCCACTCTGGAATAGCTCTACGTTTGCCTGCCCGTCGAAGCCCATATCGAACCCCGCGAAGATCTCGACCCGCTTCCAGACGATCGCGCTGAGAGATCTCTCGGAAAGGAACATCCTCAATCAAAGACTCCCGAGAATCGCTCCAAACAAGCACCTTCCAAACGGACACTCCCGTTGCGGGCCCTACTCGGTTAAACTGCCGATAGAGCTCATCGCAAGACTTAACTACTCCCCAAACTTCTCCATAATCGCTTTTCTTTGGTCCAAAACGAGAACCAGCAGCACGCCGAAGGATACGCGTAGCCTCTGCTAACCTACGATGTTTCCACATCTCCCCCGCCTCCTCCACGAATGCATCCTGATGCCGACGACGCTCACGCGCACGATGTTTATGACACGCCCTGCTGGCCTCCTTATGCTCCTCCTTCAGAGCCTCCTCATCATCAGTCGTGAGATATGCAGCTAGCCCTGGTCGAAGCGACGCCGCCTAGCCAAAAGCTCCTTCCTCTCCTCTGCCCGGGGGTTCCTCCTCTGGGACTGCGTAGCCGGCTTGGAGTGGAACTCAGCACCCTCCCCTTTATCATGATGTTGTTAATGTAACCTAACAAATGATCAGCAGTAGGAAGCATTGTCAATCTACAAAACAGTTCTGCGTCACGAAATAAGCGATCTTCAACAGCCTCGAAAAAATCACGACGACTCTTCCCCCCGAACTCCTCTCATCAATGAATCCCTATCCCACGAGGTGCGATCTGGAGCCACACGACAGCTGCCACCAGGGGAGAGCACATAGGGAAAAGCCGCATGCACCAGTACATGATCAGCCACACGCTTGGTACGAATGAGTTAGGGTTCGCGACTCAGCCGACATAAAGATCCAGCGCTCGTCAAAACAGCGACCAAATCTCTGGGAACAGCAATGAGCAGCAATCACTTAAATAAAAGATTCCCCACCTGTGGGCCCAAAGAAAGTTGACGAAAAGCCACGGTACGCCATGCGAAAACAGCATCTGAGAGAATCCACCACCAGCAAGATGACTCTTGGTAGCCGCCTCGGGGGGAACAACATCGAGTTGGTCGTACTGCCACTCCCCGTCGCAATGCACAAGACCCACACCATCGTTGAGATCTACCCCAATCACGGGAGTCGTACGAGCAGGCAACTGAGCAAGCTTGTCTTCGAGCCATTGCAAGAGCTTTGTCACCGTCATCTCATATTTCGCAAGAGTTGCCACCTCAGTAGGCCGTGGCGAAAAATATAAAGATATTGCCGTGATGTCCAGAATGCCAGATTTCGCACGAGACAGAGGACCACGGCCCTGAACCGGTGGTGGTGCAGGTTACCATTGGATGATATGCTCAGCTATAACCCGAGATCCCCAGACACTGGAACATCCAGCGGACGATGTCACAAATGGAGAAGGTGCCCATCCCGCATCAATGACCTGTCGCCCCCGCACGACTCGACGACGCAGCCGTATGCCCAGCGTCACCTTCTGCTTGGTCCCCGACAGGCAGAGCACATCGAAGTTGGCCGTTCTAGAAAGAATATCCTCCATGCGATCGACCGAACTCGCGTGCAAAGGGTTCTACTGCCCCACCGTCAGAGGAAGGTGCATGGCAAGACTAAGCGAAGAATGGCCAGCAGTCAGACAAACATGTAGATGCAACGTGTTGCAGATAGAAAAGAGGAGACTACAGTAGACGGATGTGTTGGCCATGTAGCCGCGCAAACCTGGGCGGCATGGTTGAGGAGGGAGGAGGAGGAGGAGGAGGAGGAGGAGGAGGAGGAGGAGGAGGGAGCAGGAGGATCGGGCAATGCCAAGGGGGATCACCACTAGGGGCGGTCACCACATCCTTCGTGGAACTCAGAACGAAGAAGGGGAAGAGGACACATTAGGGAAGGAAAACGAATGGCATTATTATGAGGGCGATTGGGACAAGACAACGAGGAATTATCGCCATTTCGTATGCTTTACTTTCCTGCCCTTCCGCCGCGACTTTTGCCTGCATGCCAAACTTCAAGGGCTAAGGTGCGTGGCGCGAAGCGCTAACGCAGTCTTGTACATATGAGTGCACATATATACACACTCACACAAATGTCTGTGGAAAATATATCTATATATACACAATAAGTCTCCTGCACCTGCAGCAGCACTGGCCTCACCAGGTCCATGAGCCGCTCGAGCCGGTCGGCCAGCAGGGGGAAGTCGACAGCGAAGTCGGCGGGAGGCGCCGCGCCCTCGGGCAGCTCGGCCAGCGACGCTCCGGCTCCTTCGTCCGAGGCGTTCTCCGCCAGGGCCCCGAGCGCGTCGTGCAGCTCCTCCAGCGCGGACGCGGCCTGCATCATGGCCGCGCTGGAGATCGTTTCTTTTGGGAAGTCTATACTTCGACGCTTTTTCCGGCCCTGCACTGCAATCTGCACAGGAAAGCGGATCCTGCTGTATACGGGATCCTGGTCTATACATGTTTCGGCGTTTCCCCGGGAAACGGCATCAAGAAGTATCAACCGCACCACCCCGACGTCGCCCCCGACCCTCACAAGTCCTGGGATTGAAAAACAGCCCGCCACTATATATGTTCTTGTTTCCGATATCTGGCGGCGCGCACAGGGGGGCAAGGGGAGAGGCGAAAAGTTCTTAGGAGGAGGCTACTGCTTAGAAGGCGCCGGCCTTACATCTACAGACAAGGCCCACGAAGAAGCAGCTCCAGGAAGCCTTCCCCCTTCCCATGCCCCCCTCTGCGCGTGGCCGACTTGTGTTTTTGCGTCGACAACCAGGGTTATCCAGTGGGGGGGGAGGAGGTGCCAGGCGAAAGCCACCCTTTCGCTCTGGGCAGCCCCGCGTATGCCCGCGCGCATCCATACTGCGCACCCCCTTTCGGACCTGCGCACCCGAAACTGGGTCAGGTTCTCGGGGAGGAGGAGGAGGAGGAGGAGGAGGAGGAGGAGGAGGAGGAGGAGGCGGGCGGGCCCTGTAACCCGCGTAAACGCCAGGCCCTTGAAAAACGCTCTCCTGGTGTCGAGGAGGCGCCCGTTGAGGTCCGTGCTGAGGGAGCCCGCGAAGCCGAGGCCGACAGAGGACCAGCCGTCGGCTGCCGAGCCGAAGTCCTCTGCCGGCGACGAAAAGAAGCGGGTCTCGTGCGAGAGGGCATGGCGACATAGCGACCTTACGCCGCGGCTTGCGAGGGCCGCCAGCGTGGCACACCGCGCGGAGAAGAGCGCGCTCACGCGCGATCGTACGCGGGAAGCTTACGCATGAATGTCCGCGCAATCGACCCAGCTTTGTTTAGCGGGCGAAGAACAATATAACGTAAACTGTTATGTCTCTGGGGGCGCCTGTCCCAGGGCGGCTGGAAAATTTATACCCTGACGCGCCGTAAGGGTATGTAAACTTTCCAGCCGCCGTGGGACAGGCGTCCCCGACGACGAACAAGTTCGTCTCGTACCGCTGCTCGCCCGCACGTCTCTTCCGTCGCTCAGACGAGGACCGAGGTGGCGGAGGGCGGCCTTCAATGAGAGGGCAGGGGCCCGCTCGGGAAGGGACCCGAGGCCTCCAGGGGAAGCCTCCTGAGCAGGCCCGGAGGGCCTGCGAGAAGCCTCCCTGCCCTCCTCCTGGCCCCGCCAGGGGGGACCCGAGGCGCTCGCGAGGGAAAGCGGCTCGAAGGCAGGGGGGGGGGGGCCCGCCCTCTGAGAAGGCCAGCCCCCCCCCCACCCCACCCTCGCACTGCCCCTGGCCCCACCGCCCAAGTCGGAGGCGTCCGCGAGGGGGGCAGCCAGGAGGGGGGGGTCGCAGATCATGGCCCGAGGCAGGTGCGCGGCGGCCCCACCAAGGACCGCACTGAGATGAGAAGAGGGGCCATGAAATCTGGGGAGCTATTATGGCCTAGGCCATCAGCACCCCCCTCTTGGCCGCTCCCGATCAAAACGGCCTCTGGACCCTCCAGGGGTCCACCCTTGCCATGTTTCAGACCCGCGCCTGGCCTTGGGCGACGGGGCCCACCCCAACTGCCCAGAAGCGTCCAAAGACCTCCGCAACCTCGGGCCGCTGCCACTTAACAACAGCAACTAACAAAAAAAACTACGGCCCTCGAAGATTTACTCGGTCGGCGCGGAACCCCTATCCCCACACCCCTTCGCTGGCGCTCGGAGCGCGCCACGGGCGCGCTCTGGGGGCGTTGCCAGGGGTGTGTGGGGGGGTAAGGTTCCCAGCGCCGACCCAAGAAACCGGCGCGGACCTCCAGAAAATCCGCTTGTACCATTCATTCCTACACTTCTGCGCGCTGCCGGCCTTGACTGTCCATGCGACGTTAAGGTTGCCGGCGAAGGCGAGGCAGTGGAACACCAGCGCGCAGAGCGCGAGGCAGATGGCGCACCTTGGCGCCCTCCTGGCGAGCGCCTCGTCCAGGTCGGCCTCGACGGACATCCTGAAGGTATGGTGTTCCCTCGTAGATCATATGGTCGGCCCGCTCCGCATCGCGCCAGCAGCTCTTGAGCCCAAAGCGCTCCAAGTTGTTCAGTAACCGTAGGGTGGGGATCGCGTGGGGGAGTGGGAACGTGCTGTCCTGCGGGGGCCCCAGTGGAGAGGAGGGGGGGAGGGATCGCGCTGGGGGGGATTGCTTTCGTCGCGCGTGGTGTGAGGGGGGGCTGGAACAGGCCGTCCGGCGGGGGTGGCTTGGGGAGGGGCTGATTGAAAAAATCTGGAGCACATAGTGAAGAAACAGGGCCAGTGCAAACACAAGACCCATCAAAGTTTTGGCAAAACACATTCCCTCCAAATTCCCTCTTCAAAGACTCTTATAAAGATCCGCTTTGACTGCGGGAAAATCCCCGTTGGAAGACAACCGTCGGAAACTTTACATCCGTGCCAAAAGAACCTTCCTGAAAATTGAGCGCCGCGAATCAACGTTACTGTTGCGCCCTGACGATCCCTAAGTCGTATCAGAACACCACTTGTGGGACGTCAACACCGCAAGTCAACGTGACTGTCGCGCCCAGACAACCCTAAATCGAGCCAAAACATTATTTTATCGCTTCGCTCATTCCGCCGGCCCTGGAGCGCCTCTTGGGGGATTCTTGGGGGCGTCTTGGGGCTCCTTGGCGGCGTCTTGGGCTCCCCTGGGGCCTCTTGGGGGGCTCTTGGGGGCCCCTTGGGGCGGGAGGGGGGTTAGTCGATTGCAGCCATCCCCTCGGAGGCCACGATCCTCGTGAGGGTGGCGAAAAATAGCCTCCCCCCTGGGGATCGCCCGGGACCCAGCCGGGGATCGGCCGGGGTACTTTTCGTCCGGGGGCCCCCAGGGGCCGCCCCGCGCGGGCGAACTAGAAATATTGTTCAGTAGTTACCAGAGATCTTAGTACGCCTCTGGCCCGTTGGGCCGGCGAATTCCCGGGACGTCAACCCTAAGAATCCTTGAAACGGCTTTAAGCTGTTAGAAGGGATGTCTGCGGCGGGAAAGCGAGAGTAACATGTTCAAAAGGACCTGCCCTCCGTCCGTGAAGCTCCTGCAAGCTTACACAACGAATGTGCGCGGCGCTAGGGCGAGAGCCACATTTTGAAAACCGCCCGCCCTTCACCCGTCACCCGTGAAACTGTTGCATACTTCTAGAACGAATGTGCGCGGCGCTAGAGCGAAAGCCACACTTAGAAAACCGCCCGCCCTTCATCCTTGAAACTCTGGGCAACATGTTAAAACGAATGTGCACGCCAAACAAAAAAACGAGAGCAACATTTTGAAACTGACCCGCCCGCCATAGGTGAAACTGCTGCACATTTCAAGCTTCAGGAACATAAACGGTAAAGAAGACTCAGGCGAAACGCTCGGCCCGCCTTCCCGACCCGTCTCGGGAAGCGACAGGGAGGAGTTATGTATAAGGAAGGGGGATGAAAGTGAAAGATAAGGAGGAAGACGACAACAACGAAGACGGGGCCTGAAGTATCCGCATACATGAAAGATGTGGGGCACACCCCGCCGGCCCTCTGAAGTCGCTGCGCGCAAGGACCGAAACACACTCCATGGGGCCGACAACCTTGCAGCCCGCAGCCCTACATATCCGCCACACGTTTAAGACACATGTGCGCGGCGATAGAGCGAAAACAACATTGTCAAAACCATCCGTCCTCCATCCATGAAACTCTTGCAACATTTGAAGACGAACGTGCGCGCCGATGAAAAGAGAGTCACATTTTGAAAACGACCCGCCCTCCATCCGTGAAACTGTTGCAGACGATGAAACCGAATGCGCGCGACGCCAAAACGAGAGCGACATCTTGAAAAGGACACGCCATCCACTCGCGAAACTGCTGCAAACTGTTAAGACGAATGAGCGCGGCGCTAGAGCGAGAGCCACATCGTCAAAACTACCCGCCCTCGAAGACTTTTAGAGCGAATGCGCGCGGCAATAAAACGAAAACCATGTCTTGAAAAAGACCCGCCATCCACTCGCGAAACTGCTGCAAACTACTAAGACGAATGCGCGCGGCGCTAGAGCGTGAGACACATTGTCAAAACTGAGAGCCACATTGTCAAAACCACCCGCCCTCCATTCGCGAAACTGTTGCAAACTTGTACAACGAATGCGCGCGGCGCCGGGGCGAGAACCACACTCCTTAATGGCCCACCCTCCGTCCGCGAAACTGTTGCAGACTTCAAGCTCAAGGATCACAGACGGTAAGGAAGTCTCAAGCGAAACGCCCGGCTCGCCCTACCGACACGTCTGGGGGTGCGACGGGGAAGAGTTATTCATAAGGCAGAGGAGGACGAGAAGGAGGGAGGAGGAAGAACGAGGACGAGGGACGGGGAGCAGGTATGGAGGAGGAGGAGGAGGAGGAGTAGGAGGGAGGAGGAGGATATGGAGGAGGAGGAGGAGGAGGGAGGAGGAGGAGGAGGAGGAGGAGGAGGCGAGAGGAGGAGGAGGAGGAGGAGGAGGAGGAGGAGGAGGAGGAGGAGGAGGAGGTTCAGCGTTCACCAAGGAGGGGGGAGAGAGAGGGTCCCGAGAGTCCGCCGAGCAAGCCGCCCACGCGCGCCTTGGCGCGGCTGCTCGAGCTCATTGCACAATCAAGGAAGAGGTGGAAGAGGAGAAGGCAGGGAGGAGGAGGCAGGGAGGAGGAGGCAGAGAGGAGGAGGGAGGGAGAAGGAGGAGGAGGCAGGGAGGAGTGGGCAGGGAGGAGGCAGGGAGGAGAAAACAGGGAGAAGGCAGGGAGGAGGAGGCAGGCAGGAGGAGCAGGCAGGGAGGAGGCAGGCAGGCAGGAGGAGGAGGAGGAGGCAGGGAGGAGGAGCAGGCAGGGAGGAGGAGGAGGAGGAGGAGGAGGAGGAGGAGGAGGAGGAGGAGGAGGAGGCAGGGAGGAGGAGGCAGAAGGGGCGGTCTCGGACGGCGGGGAAGGAGGCGGCGCGGTGAGGACGCGAGGGCGGCGAGGGCCGCCCGGCGGCGACCTGCCTCGGCCCGCACGGGCGGGGGGGCGCCGCCGCGCCTTTCTCATCGAGGCGGCAGTTCACATTGGCGCCCTTCCTCACGCAGTCCTCTCCGGGGCGGCGGGGCCGCTGGGCGGGGCGGGCTCCCCCCACAGACCCCCCCGGGCCATGAGAGAGTCACGAGGGCCCGGCTCCGCAATTCTCAGCCTCCGAGGGGCCCTCACCAGGCACCGGGCCTCGGGGCCGTTAGAGAACGACTGGGGAGGACCAAACCGCTCCCGGGGGGATAAGCCGAAGCCTCTGGGGGTCGACGTTACGAAAAAATCACGATGCCGGGGGTCTGGGCCCGCGGGAGCGGGGGCGGGAAGACCGGGCCTCGGGGCCGTTAGAGAACGACTGGGGAGGACCAAACCGCTCCCGGGGGGATAAGCCGAAGCCTCTGGGGGTCGACGTTACGAAAAAATCACGATGCCGGGGGTCTGGGCCCGCGGGAGCGGGGGCGGGAGGGGGGGAGCTCGGGAGGGAGGGAGGGAAGCGAACGCCGGAGCCGTGCGCGCTCCCTTGGGGAGCCAGCCCATGCCCATCAGGGCATGGCGTGGAGGTCGTGGCCTCAAAAACGTAAGATTTGGGCGGACGCCCGTCGTAACCACCATTCAAGACTTCCGTGAGGGAGGGAGGGAGGGAGGGGGGGCGGAGGGGGAGAGGGGGAGAGGAAGAGAGGAAGGCAGGGAGAAGAATTGGATTGGATTGGATGGGGGCGTGATGCAGCAAAGTATGAACGACTCCTGACTTCGACGCTCGAACAGCAACAAAATCAAACTTTCGCCTAGAGGAGGCGGAGGAGGAGGAGGGGAGAGAGGGAAATGTGAGTCAAGAATGAAGGGGAAGTGAGAACGAGAATGAGGATGGATGACAAGGAGGAGGACAAGGAGGAGGAGGACAAGGAGAAGGAGGAGGAGGAGGAGGGAAAACGAGGAGAAGAGGGAGGAGGAAGAAGAAGAAGAAGACTCGGCCTTGCGCTGCATGTCTGAAGTCTCATGCCTGCTGCTGCTGATTCGATCATCTACAACAAAGAACCTCTGACAGTCGAACGAACGAGATAACACTCGAGATCAGGGTAAAGCGCACCGTGCAGCCCAGCATTCGAACGAGTGCGAGACCGATCGCAAACAGTGAAACCCATGCGAGCGGGAGGCGAGCGACCTCTCGGGCTCCGCAGGAGCCGTACCTCCAGGACGGCGGGCCCCAGGATGGCCCCTGGAGCGCCCGAGCCCTCCCGAATTCGGGCCCACTCCCCAGCAGGCACACGACGGACGCGAGAGGAACGACGGGGCAAGAGAGGCGACAGAGAGGACGAGCAAGAACGAAGGAGGGGGCGAGGACAAAGCAGAGGGAGAGCGGGCAAGCAGCACAGCAACGGAGGGGGGAGTGGGCCCACAAAATCAAAAAAGCCACCGATCCTCTGAACGGAAACTACACGGAGGGAAGACCAGATGGAGGACGGTGGCGGCACGGTGCCTCGAAGTACGGCGAGGCGAGGCTCATCGGGCTCAGGGGGTGGCGACGACCCCGTCGAAGAAGAAGATTTGGACTATGAACGAGTTCACATTGAACGAGTTCACGAAATCAACATTGGTCAGGTATGTAGACGCCCATAGAGTAGTCCACCCGTCAGACCAAGTCACACCGTGAACTCAGAAGTAGTATGGAATAGGCGACGAGCGGCGCGGGCCTTCGAGGCAGCAAAACCTGACCCCCGCCCTGCCGCATAAGGTGGGCGAGAGCGAGCGAACTCCAGCCCAAGCCCCCTGGACAGGACGAAGGGCCAGTGGCGACTCTGAGCACACCCCGCGGGTGGCGCGTTCTGACCTGCCCTGCCCACAATTATGAAGGTGCCCCCGATGAGCACGCCGCCAGCTCTCTGATACGAATCCGTTCCCGTAGTGCCATCAAGCGAGACTCCCACGAGCTTTCCCGCGCTGATCCTTGGGCTTCGAGCGATCCAGTAGCTTCTGGGCCATCAGTTCCAGGTGGCCCACCGGTGCCGTGCCGAGCTTGAGACGACCGTCGAGGTGCACCAGCGCCTTGATCGTGGCCT